CTCTGTGTGAGCCCCCCCCCCCAAAAGATAGAGAATAGAAAAGAATGTAGTGGTATATTCCTATTCATTTATGGTCCCCAGCAGTACATTCAAGTTCTCTGTACTAAGACTTTGGGTTTCTTTAAGCTTCTTTTTAGGAATTTTCTGTTCTTTTTACTACAAGTTTTGTTGGGGAATATTATTTTCAGGTTTGGGACTTTTGTTTACACTGCATTTGTTATATATATATATATGTTTATATTTATGTTTATAAATATGATATATATAAAATGTATACAACATTCTGCCTTCATGTATGTCCACACACCAGAAGAGGGCGCCAGATCTCATTACAGAGATTGTGAGTCACCATGTGGTTGCTGGGAATGGAACTCAGGACCTCTGGAAGAGCAGACAGTGCTCTTAACCACCTGAGCCATCTCTCTACATTTGTTTAACTCTGTGAAGTTGTGTTACTGTGCCTGTCTAAAACACCTGGTGGTCTAATAAAGTACAGCCAATAGCAAGGCAGGAGCAAAGACAGGTGGGGCTGGCAGGCAGAGAGCAGAAATAGGAGAAACGAGAAGGAGGAGTAAATGAGAGAGGAGGATACCAGGGGCCAGCTCATCCAGCTACACAGCAAACCATAGAGAAAAAGTAATGTCAGACTCCCCCAAAAGCCAAAAGAGCAAAAACATCAAAACAAGTTTCCTAAGGGCACAGAAAAATTCTCTAATTTTGTTGTAAATGAGTCTGTTTTTAGATTTTTACTTATGCATATATGTTTGTGTTTATATTCTACGTATGTGTAAGTGCGCTTGGAGAATAAAAAGAATGTTGGATTCCTTATAGCTGGAATTAGAAATGGTTGTGAGCCATACAACATGGTGCTGGGAACTGAACTCAGGTGCCCTGGAAGAGCAACAAGTGTTGCTGACTGCAGAGCCACTCTCCGACTTGACATGGACCTGTATTAAATCTTTTTTGGGGGAAGTGTTTGGCATCAAATCAAGTCCTCATGTACTGCTTGCCAAGTGCTATACCACTGAAACAGGGTCTTGTTAAGTTATTTAAGTAACTCAGTCTGTAGCCCAGACCAGTCCTTGAAAGAACAATACTTCTGCCTTCTAATCACCTTGTATTTCAGACCTATACTACCAAGTCAGGCCTGAGCACTTTTCTTATATCAGATATTTTAAATAATTAGTGTTCTTTTTGCAGATATTGGGGTGGAGGGGAAGGCCAGTGCCACGAGGGACTGCAGCGGATCACCCGAGGCCTCAGTGGGGCCATGGCGGGTGAGAGACAGACAGATACATCATGCAGAGGGAGTTTGGGTATAGATTTTATTTAGCGGATTATGGAGGGGACAGGGAAAGAGGGAAGGAGAGAAAAGTGGGGGGAGGAGACAGAGAGGGGAGGAGACAGGTAGCAGCCACCTCTTCAGAAGGACTATAAGAGAGTACTGGAAGGAGGAGGCGGGAGATCAGCTTGTCTTGGTAGTAAAGGGGGTTGGGAGTGGGCAGGGCTTGTCTCTCAAAGGGACAGGGTACCCAGGTGACAGGCCAGCACATCATAACCATTAGCATCTGTTTTTGTTGATGTTTTTCTTTGTTTTGCTGTGCTAGATATTGAAACTAGGACCTCAACCATGTTGGAAAGTTTTCTACCACTGAATAGCACCCTCAGAGAGACATGTTTTAAATGTTAATGTATTGTTTTCCAAACAACTAAAAAAACAGTATCTTGGTGTGGTAGGTGCTGCCTGTAATCCCAGCACTTGGGTGGTGGAAACTGAAAGATTAGGAGTTCAAGACAAGCCCTGGCTGGAAATTTAGGATGAAATGATCAGACTAATATTATACATAGCAGAAAATGATCATAACAAAATTAAAGCTAGCCAGGCAATGGTGGCACACCCCTTTAATCCCAGCACTGGAGGCAAAGGCAGGCTGTGAGGTTTGAGGTCAGCATGGTCTATAGAGCAAGTTTCAGGACAGGCAGGGCAATACTGAAAAACCCTGTCATGAAAAAACAAAACAAAACAATTTTGTCTACCTGGGAGGCCAAGGCAGATCCGCCTGGATTGGGCTACAGAGTAAGACCTTGTCTCAATCCTGTCCTCTCTCTGACCCCCAAAAACGAGAAGATCAAATCTTGGGTTTAGAATTCTATTAACTACTAAGAGAATATTTTAGGTAATAGAATAAAAAACAAAGGGGGTGGGGTGGGTTTTAACACTATAATTCTAACATGAATGAGGAAAGAAAAAGAAACGGAAAAAAAAGGCAGGGGGATATGGACCAAGTAAAAGGTTCAGAACTAGGGAGCATTAATCAACGTTTTGTTCTGACACATTCCCTCTGATCTGACGAACCACACTTGTACTCAGCTCTGTAACCCTGCTATGGCTCCCTGAACACGGCATGTTACTCTCCGAGCTAGAGATGAGCATAAATACTACGTACCATTAGATTGCCATGCGTCTCCCAGGTCGGTGCTTCCATTCGGTACAGCTCTTCAAATTGCTGTCTGTATTTTACAACTAGTTCCTTCTCCAGTTTGTCAACACAGTCTGCATATTCAGCCTTAAACCCCAGAATGTGTAACAAACATGTAGAATAAAAGGTAAACATTCAGGTGAATACAAGTGATATGAAATTATTTAAACCTGAAGAACAAGGGTAGAGAGAACAAAGCAAACCGAGCAAGCTTACCCTATAGGGATGTCGTTCATCCTGGAAATAAGTCAGAAGATGTAAGACACAACGAAGAATGCAGGTTCTTTCTTCATAATAATAATCTGCAATCTAGGGGGCAAAACCCACAAAGTTTCAAAATCAGTATCTCACTCTTGCAAAGAGACTCAAGTTTACAACTCCTGACAACAGATCCTTCAAAAATGTGCAAGGAGGGGCTGGAGAGATGGCTCAGCGGTTAAGAGCATTGCGTGTTCTTCCAGAGGACCCGAGTTCAATTCCCAGCATCCACATGGTGGCTCACAACCATCTGTAATGAGGTCTGGTGCCCTCTTCTAGCAGGCATATATGCAAACAGAATATTGTATCCAAAATAA